TCTTGCCACCAGGTGCTGTGAGTTACCAAGCGGCCTCACCTGTGCAGCCGTGCCTTGCCTCCCCAGAACAAACTTAGGAAGACCCCAGTCCTGCAAAGCCCTACTAGTCACAGGGCCCAGCTCCTGCATGCACTCCTGACAGTCTTTTAGATATTTGAAGATGGCTATCATATCTCCTCTCAGTCTCCTCTTTTCCAGGCTAAACATACCCAGCTTCTTCAACCGTTCCTCAAGGCTTAGTTTCCAGACCCATGACCATCTTGGTTGCCATAAAGAAGACCATAAAGAAGGCTGATTGCCGAAGAATTGATGCTTTTGAATTACGGTGATGGAGGAGACTCTTGAGAGTCCCATGGACTGCAAGAAGATCAAACCTCTCCATTCTGAAGGAAATCAGCCCTGAGTGCTCACTGGAAGGACAGATCCTGAAGCTGAGGCGCCAATACTTTGGCCACCTCATGAGAAGAGAAGACTCCCTGGAAAAGACCCTGATGTTGGGAAAGATGGAAGGCACAAGGAGAAGGGGACGACAGAGGAGGAGATGGTTGGATAGTGTTCTCGAAGCTACCAGCATGAGTTTGACCAAACTGCGGGAGGCAGTGGAAGACAGGAGGGCCTGGCGTGCTCTGGTCCATGGGGTCATGAAGAGTCAGACACGACTAAATGACTCAACAACAACAAGCTACCTTTAGATTTTTATAGACTTTTCATTCTTTTTAGTTTTTCAAGACCCCCCTTAATGCTGGTCTATGACCGTAATAAAGATTTGATTTGATATGTGTGTATATGAGGGTTCCCCACCTTGGTGGATACCGAACAGGTCTTTGGCCAGGATGGCAGACTGGTTGGGCCCCAATCCTTGGCCTGATACCTCATGTTCCACGGCAGAAGAAACCCAGCACATAAATGCTGGAAAATGAGACAGGCCCAAATATTTGGACAAGCAAGGCAAACTTTGGACTTTACCAGAGACAAATTCCGGCAACCGCAGAAACAGAAGAAGAAAAAGAATCGGGATTGGTTTGTTTGCTTGGCTCCCCCACCCCCCTCCTTTGGTGACCAAAAGCCCCGTTCCCCCACCCCAGCCCCAATTCACCTCCCCATCATTTCTCATCAAGCAAAGCTCTTGAGACCTCAGCACCCGCCTTCCGCCGTGATTTCCTTGACAACACAGAGAGGCAGCAACAGACAGCTGCTCTAAAGTCCTCCTTAGAGCAACCTGGAATTTGATGTCATAACAACTGTTTTTCTACTGTGTGTGTCAAAAAGGAAAGGGCTCTCCAGGAGGGGAATGGGAGAGATTTAATTATAGAGCTGCATTGTGAGATCCCTCTTCTCTCTCTCTGCGCATGGGTTTTTGTACATGTGCATCTCCCACTATTATGATTTGGCTACAAGTGCGTCGTGGCTGATGGGACCACACACACAAAGGAAAGCCATGGGTGTAACGGCAGGGGCACCCGACTTACCTCAGTCTGGGTGCTCCAAGGACAAGCTCTTATTTTGATTTCTGCAAATCAGGTTACGAGAAAGCGGTGGCCAACCCGACACCTGGTGGAAACCAGCAAGCATGACCCGAGCGCAAGGGCACTCTCCTCTCCTGTGGTTTCAGAAGCATCGCTGTCAGAACATAGCCATCCTGACTAGTAGCCATCGATAACCCCTCTCCTCCTCTGTGAATTTGTCTAATCCTCTTCTAAAACCATCCAATTTGGTGCCCATCTCTGCCTCCTTCAGGAAGGAGTTCCACAGATTAACTATGCACTGCATGAAGAAAGACTTTCTATTCTCTTTTTTTTAAAAAAATAAATTTTATTAGTTTTTAACATATCATTTTAAACAGTAATTAAACATACTTTTACATCTTATACAGTTTTTTTTTACTTCCATCAATCACATCTGAAAATTTTCTGACCTATTCCCTCTATATACATTTCTTACTTTCACTATTACATTTAAATCTCATAACCAATATCTCTATCTTTTTCTACTTTGTAACACTTCGTATATTTCTCCTTACAAAACTTCTTGTAGTCCTACTAGCGTAATTTGTTGATTACAGTTGCTCTTCAAATAATTCGTATATTTCCTCCAATCTTCTGTGAATCTCTGGTCCCGCAGGTTTCAAATCCTTCCTCTCATTTTATCTAATTCTGCGTAGTCCATTAATTTTATCTGCCATCCTTCTTTCGTCGGAATTTCTTCTTGCTTCCGAAAGACTTTCTCTTCTCTGTCCTGAATCTTCCAACATTCAGCTCCATTGTATGCCCGTGAGCTCTACTGTTAGGAGAGAGCGGGATTTTCCCCCCTTCTGTCCACTTTCTCTTGGCCATGCATACATTCAGGCCCATCTTACCCAGTGAAGCTAGTGGCGCAGGGTGCCTGCGCACCAAGCTCTGGACGGCGCCAAGCGAGAGTCTGGGGAACACCAAACGAGTGCGCTGAGTGAGCGATGCTGTTAGACTCCAACTCCCAGCAGCATCAGTAGGACAGAACGCCCAATAGGCAGCAATGACGCTGGCAGGAGTTGTAGTCTAGCAACATCACGGAGGTCCACATTTTCTGGTTAACTGCCCCAGCAGAGATTGCTCCAGGTGTGAAGAGATAAGTCCTGCTTCCTGGCTATGGACCTACCTGATTGCAATGGCCAACAGCACTGAGACATCATTTAAGATTTTCCCACAATGCTCCAGTGCGCCCAGCATAGTACCATTCTGGGGTGTTTGGGGAAATTTGAATGACAGCTTGTAGCTGCCCAATGTGGGGAGACCAGATCAAGGGGTCAATGTTAATAGGCCAAATTGGAATCCTACTTTCTAGTCTTGCCCGGGGGTTGGAAGTATTGACTTGGTTCGGATGTTTGCGTGAGCCTGCTATCCCCTCCCTCTTCTTCACCACATCAGCTTCCAGTTTAAACCAGTGCTTTTCCCCCTTAAAAATGTTTAGGGGTACTCTCATTTTGACTCAAGAAAATCACCATTTTACAGTTCAAATTGGGGAAAATAAATACAGTAAATGGACTAAAGCACCAAGATTCACAAAATATTTATGGGTATGCGTGCCCCGGCATCCACCCAGAAAAAAGCACTGGTTTAAACCAACCACAGTTTGTTGGTTCTCCTGATCCGGTCACTGTGGTTACTTCTAACTATGATTTATCTGACTATGCCAGGCTAAAAACCACCATTTTATCTCAGCATGTGTGAAGGAAACGATAAACCACACTTCATTGGTACAAGCAGATGCATTTAAAATAGATGCTTCCAACCTCCTCACTGGTGTGCTGGCAAAGAGGGGTTTGGGGAGGGCAGAACCCAAAGCTTTTGCATTCACAATAAACTATGGGTTGAGCATGACATTTGAAACCTCCCATTGCCTCTCTCCAGCCGTAGAAGCCCATAGAAGAACTTCAATTCCTTACCCTGCCTAGATCACAAGTAGCCTATACGGTGATCTCTGGGTGCCCCAGCCAGCATGGCCAATGGTTACAGCTTCAGGAGACCTGACAAACGGTGGTTGGTTTAAAATGATAGGAAGTAGAATCCAACTTTTGTTATGGTGCTTCTTGTAGCCAGTGACTCCACTGAAATTGCCCTTTAAATTTTGAGCTGCATGCGGGTTTGTGGGTTTTTTTTAAACTGGTTTATTAATGCTGTGGGTGCCTTGTAGAAATTGTTTTTCAGATCTTTTAATTATCATTGAAGCTGTAATTTTAAATGGCCGTCGTGTAAGCTGCTTTGAGTTTTGCTCAGCAAGACAGCTTATAAATATTTTAAAATACAGTGGTACCTTGGGTTAAGAACTTAATTCGTTCCGGAGGTCCGTTCTTAACCTGAAACTGTTCTTAACCTGAAGCACCACTTTAGCTAAAGGGGCCTCCTGCTGATGCTGCGCCGCCGGAGCACGATTTCTGTTCTCATCCTGAAGCAAAGTTCTTAACCGAGGTACTATTTCTGGGTTAGCAGAGTCTGTAACCTGAAGCGTCTGTAACCTGAAGCATATGTAACCCGAGGTACCACTGTAAATGGCATGAGGGACCCAGTCAGTGATTCTATGTGTGGGTTAAAATGAAAGTAATAGCCTCTGCTTCTTGCACAGTAACTTATCATGAGGCCAGTCCTCAAGAAGAAACAGAGAGAGAGAGAGAGAGAGAGAGAGAGAGAGAGAGAGAGAGAGGAAGCCATAGATATGAACGCTTATTTCCCATCCACATTGTATTCATTTAGAGACCCGCTGTGGCCAATGCAAATTCCTTTTTTGTGACATTTCATACAGTGGGATTATTCCCCCTAAGGGGTAACATCCTGTCATTGGGGCACAAGAATGGGAATGAATGGTTTTACTTAAAACTAAGCAGATTCCTGCACCCGCTGAAAACTTCACAGCTTGCAAGTGTTAAGGCGCGCCATGGCATTGACAAATGAAATTCTTTCATGGAAATAATTTGGGCGACTCTTAATTAAGTTTGCTCAGGAGTAAGGGGTGAACATAAAATGAGATAGCTGAGGAGGACAGCTCTGAATCCTTATCCTAGCCAGAAAGCACAAACGGGGGGGGGGGGGGAGTTGCCCTTGTAGCTTTGCATTCCCTAACCACAAGTTAAACACCGCTGCTACATTTCCTGGCATGGGGTTCAAGAAGAAAACAAGACATGGGGTTTGTCCACACTTCTGCTTGTCCTGTAACTAGTAAGCATGGCTCCAAGAGGTTCTGCCTTTGCCTTGCCACTTTCCCCCCAAAAACCTGCTCTTTAGTGCTAAATTGGAACAAACAGCAGTCCAAACCCAACTGCCCTTTGTTTCCTGTTCAGTGCTAAAGATTGCACTTACCTGGGGGAAAGTGGCGAGGGAAACAGAGATGTGGATAAACCCAAGTCGAGCCTTCAAACACATCCTTTCTTTATCACGTCATAACCAGTGCTTCGTTGAATCACAGAACTGTAGAGATGGAAGGGACCGCGAGGGCCATCTAGTCCAACCCCCTGCAATGCAGGAATCTTTTGCCCACCGTGAGACTCGAACCCACGACCCAGAGATTAAGAGGCTCGCGCTCTACCGACTGAGCTACCCTAGTTAAGCAAGGAGATGCATCCACACAAATACGCCTCTCCACACAGCACATGGTTAAACTGCTTGCTGGTCTGCCATTGGGGTATCTGGCTGGCCACTGTGAGAACAGGAGTCAGTACTAGGTGGGAAATAGGTCTTATACAGCAGAACTCATTTGGGGCTTTGAGCACTAATGTGAACAGCTTGAATTGGGCCCAGAAATGAACAGGCAACCAAGGCAAGCTGTTTTAAAACGGAGGTTGTGGGAGATGATGATGATGATGATGATGATTCCCCCGCCCATGTGAGTATGTTTCCCCAGCCACTCTGGGAGGCTCCCAACAGAATATTAAAAACACCATACAACATCAAACATTTAAAACTTCCCTAAACAGGGCTGCCTTCAGATGTCTTCTAAAAGTCAGATAGTTGTTTATTTCCTTGACATCTGACAAGAGGGTGTTCCACAGGGTGGGTGCCACCACCGAGAAGGCCCTCTGCCGGGTTCCCTGTAACCTCACTTCTCTCAGGGAGGGAACCGCCAGAAGGCCCTCGGCACTGGACCGTAATGTCCAGGCTGAACGATGGGGGTGGAGACGCTCCTTCAGGTATACTGGGCCTTTGAGGCCGTTTCGGGCTCTAAAGGTCAGCACCAACATTTTGAATTGTGCTTGGAAATGTACTGGGAGCCAATGTAGGTCTTTCAGGACCGGTGTTATGTGGTCTCAGCGGCCGCTCCCAGTCACCAGTCTAGCTGCTGCATTCTGGATTAGTTGCCGTTTCCGAGTCACTTTCAAAGGTAGCCCCACATAGAGCGGGTGGCAGTAGTCCATGCGGGAGATAACTAGAGCATGCACCACTCTGGAGAGACAGTGCGCGGACAGGGAGGGTCTCATCCTGCACACCAGACGGAGCTGATAAACAGCTGCCCTTGACACAGAATTGACCTGCGCCTCCATGCTGTGAGTCCAAAATGACTCCCAAGCTGCACACCTGGTCCTTCAGGGGCACAGTTACCCCATTCAGGGCCAGGGAGTCCCCCACACCCGCCCACCTCCTGTCCCCCAAAAACAGTATTTCTGTCTTGTCAGGATTCAACCTCAATCTGTTAGCCTCCATCCATCCTCCGACCGCCTCCAGAGACTCACACAGGACCTTCACTGCCTTCACTGGTTCCGATTTGAAAGAGAGGTAGAGCTGAGTATTGTCTGAAAGCAACCTCAGCCAGCAATCTGGCCACTGTAATTTGGACCAGCTGACATTTCCGAGCCATCTTCAAGGGCAGCCCCACAGAGAGCGCATTGCAATAATCCAATCTGGAAGTTAGCAGAGCATGGAGCATTATTCCCCATGCTGTCAGCTAGCTGCTGCTGCTGGCAGATCCCAGGAGAACGGACAGGGTGATCATGTAATGCCAGAGGACAACTGTGCTATTAATAGCTCTTTTCCCCAAACTGTCAGCTCACGTTGATTTATCAACTCATTCTGCAAACACACCCACACACACTGCCACTCTCCCCTCCTGGCACACAACCCTTTCCGTATTTGCTTTTTCCAAGGACTCTGCACATCATTTCCTTGTTTACCTTTGTTGTTGTTGTTGTTTAGTCGTTTAGTCGTGTCCGACTCTTCGTGACCCCATGGACCAGAGCACGCCAGGCACTCATGTCTTCCACTGCCTCCCGCAGTTTGGTCAGACTCATGCTGGTAGCTTCGAGAACACTGTCCAACCATCTCGTCCTCTGTCGTCCCCTTCTCCTTGTGCCCTCCATGTTTCCCAACATCAGGGTCTTTCCCAAGAAATCTTCTCTTTTCATGAGGTGGCCAAAGTATTGGAGCCTCAGCTTCAGGATCTGTCCTTCCAGTGAGCACTCAGGGCTGATTTCCTTCAGAATGGATATGTTTGAGCTTCTTGCAGTCCATGGGACTCTCAAGAGTCTCCTCCAGCACCATAACTCAAAAGCATCAATTCTTCGGCGATCAACCTTCTTGATGGTCCAGCTCTCACTTCCATACATCACTACTGGGAAAACCATAGCTTTAACTATACGGACCTTTGTTGGTAAGGTGATGTCTCTGCTTTTTAAGATGCTCTCTAGGTTTGCCATTGCCTTTCTCCCGAGGGGCAGGCGTCTTTTAATTTTGTGACTGCTGTCACCGTCTGCAGTGATCATGGAGCCCAAGAAAGTAAAATCTCTCGCTGCCTCCATTTCTTCCCCTTCTATTTGCCAGGAGGTGATGGGACCAGAGGCCATGATCTTTGTTTTTTTGATGTTGAGCTTCAGACCATATTTTGCGCTCTCCTCTTTCACCCTCATTAAAAGGTTCTTTAATTCCTCCTCACTTTCTGCCATCAAGGTTGTCTCATCTGCATATCTGAGGTTGTTGATATTTCTTCCGGTGATCTTAATTCCTTTACCTGGCCAAAAATAGGACACTTTTGTGCCTGGGGTGCTTGGGAGGAGAGGCCCAGCCCAGCCCAGCTACAGAGAGGGAAAACTAAGGAAGCAGAATGCTAGAAGATTCAGGATGGATAAAAGAAGGTACATCTTTGTGTGGTGCGTAGTTAAACCATGGAACTTACTGCCACAGGAAGCAGGGATGGCCTCCAATTCGGGTGGCTTTCAAAGAGGATGGGGCAAATTCACGGAGAAGTATTTCAGTGGCTATGAGCCAGGATGGATGTGTTCTGCCTCCACATTTTTCATCTCCGCCAAGCTAAGCAGTTGGCTCCTTACCTCTCTCGCCCTGACCTAGCCACTGTGATCCACGTGACGGTCGCCTCCAGACTTGATTATTGTAACTCACTCTATGTGGGGCTGCCCATGAGACTGACACAGAAACTCCAGCGGGTGCAGAATGCTGCAGCGAGGCTCCTTATGGGGTCCTCGTCGCGGGATCACATTCACCCAGTACTATACCAGCTGCACTGGCTCCCGGTGGAGTACAGGGTCAGGTTTAAGGTGCTGGTTTTGACCTTTAAAGCCCTATACAGCCTAGGACCCTCGTACCTACGGGACCGCCTCTCCTGGTATTCCCCGCGGAGGACCGTACAGTCTGCAAATAATAACACTTTGGAGGTCCCAGGCCACAAGGTGGTTAGATTGGTCTCAGCTAGGGTCAGGGCCTTCTCAGTACTGACCCCGACTTGGTGGAAAGCTCTGTCACAAAAGACTAGGGCCCTGCGGGACTTGACATCTTTCCGCAGGGCCTGCAAGACAGAGCTGTTCCACCAGGCCTTTGGCCAAGGCACAGTCTGACCCCCTCCCTCCTTCTGTAATCCTCATAGAACTCTAGCCCAGTAGTTGCCATTAATTTGATTCTGAATTGATTTTAGAATGTATTTCAATTAATTGATTGTGCTTTTATGTAAACTGTGTTACTTTTATTGTTAGCCGCTCTGAGCCCAGCTTCGGCTGGGGAGGGCGGGATATAAATTATTTTATTTTATTTTATTTTATTTTATTTTATTTTATTTTATTAGTATTAGTATTAGTATTAGTATTAGTATTCAGAAGCAACCTTGCTTCTGAATACCACTTGCTGGAAGCCACAGGCAGGGAGAGGGCTCTTGTGCTTGAATCCTGGTCCCATGGGCCCTCTGCCTGGTTGGCCACTGTGAGAACAAGATGCTGGACAAGAAGGACCGTTGGCCTGGTCCAGCATGCTCATCTTAACATTCTTAAGGGACGCAGGTGACGCTGTGGTCTAAACCACTGAGCCTCTTGGGCTTGCTGATGGGAAGGTTGGCAGTTTAAATCCCTGTGACGGAGTGAGCTCCCTTTGCTCTGTCCCAGCTCCTGCCAACCTAGCAGTTCGAAAGCACACCAGTGCAAGTAGATAAATAGGTACCACTGTGGCGGGAAGGTAAACGGCGTTTCCATGCACTCTGGCTTCCATCACGGTGTCCCATTGAGCCAGAAGCGGTTTAGTCCTGTTGGCTACGTGACCCGGAAAGCTGTTTGTGGACAAATGCCGGCTCCTTTGGCCTGAAAGCAGAGATGAGCGCTGCAACCCCATGGTCGCCTTTGACTGGAGTTAACTGTCCAGGGGTCCTTTACCTTTTTGTTTTATCCATTTTGTCAGAACCTCATCATGGAGTGAAAATGTCCATGCGCTATCGGTGGTCATGATCCCACAGAGAGAACGTGATAATAATAATAATAATAATAATAATAATAATAATAGATTATTTATACCCCCCCCCATCCGGCTGGGTTTCCCCAGCCACTTTGGATGGCTTCCAGCAAAATATTAAAATACAATAATTCATCAATTATGGAAAGCTTCCCTAAACAGGGCTGCCTTCAGATGTCATCATCTCTCATCCAAGCAAACACAATCCTTTCTAGGGGGACATGGATCCTGCAATGGCGAGACTTTGAATCTGGTCCATCTTCCAAGGAGTTCAGGGTGACACACAGCAATGGGGGTTTCCTACAAGCTTCTGCTTGGCCACTGGGAGAAGAGGGTGCTGGACTGGATGCAGCCCCCTTTGGCCTGATCCAGCAGGCCCTTCTTCTTCTGAGCGCAAATCAAAGTGTTGGTGCTGACCTTGAAAGCCCCAAATGGCCTCGGCCCAGTAGATCTGAAGGAGCGTCTCCACCCCCATCGTTCAGCCCGGACACTGAGTTCCAGCTCTGAGGGCCTTCTGGCGTTTCCCTCGTTTCAAGAACTGAGGTTACAGGGAACCAGACAGAGGGCCTTCTCGGTGGTGGTGCCCGCCCTGTGGAACGCCCTCCCATCAGATGTGAAGGAAATAAACAACTATCTGACTTTGAGAAGACATCTGAAGGCAGCCCTGTTTAGGGAAGTTTTTAATATTTAATGCTGTATTTTTAACACTCGTTTGGGAGCAGCCCAGATGGACGGGGTATAAATAATAAATTCTTCTTCTTCTTCTTCTTCTTCTTCTTCTTCTTCTTCTTCTTCTTCTTCTTCTTCTTCTTCTTCATAGCTAGCAGGAGTGAAGAGTTGCTCTCCCCCTTTGGGTTTCTCCATCTATCCTGTCCCCTCACCCCACCCCAGGA